CCAAAGCTGTCCTAGATCAGCCAACAGCCCAATGAACTTCACCCATGTGAGTAAACCTAGTCAAGGTCGACTGTCAGGACAAAATATATTAAAAGGCAGAGGCTTCTTGTCCCTGTTGAAAGTAAGGTCCCTTCCCATCCTTTTTCTTATGCCATTTACTTGAGGAAATTTGTGATTGTGGGGGCTTTCTCCCCTCTTTGAAATGCATATAAGTCCTTTGTGAAAACTACATAGGCCTTTTGTCAGGCTTGTGATCCAGGAATGTGTTTCTAAAGACCATGGGAGCCCTCTTTCTGAGCTGTTAACACCAAGGTGGACAGCACCTCTCTCTCCCAGTTACTGGGGGAGTGTAGAAGCCTAACCTCATTGGGGACCAGGGCCCAAGTGCAAAACCACTTCCTGTCATAAAGATGGGAGAAGTTGTAAAAACAAACTATTTTAACTTTTATTTGTCTGGAAAACTCATCTTTCCTTCCATTCTGAATGACAGCCTTGCTGCAGGTTTTTTCCTTTCAGTACTCTGAATGTATCATGCCACTCCCTCCTGGCCTGACAAGTTTCTGTTGAAATCTCTACTGAGTAACAGGAGGAAGTGTTGAACCACTATATTGCACTATATTGAGCCACTATATAAAACTACATGTTAACTACACTGGACTTTAAAAACCTTTTTTTAACTTTTAAGATTGGAGAATTTGTTTTCCTTGGGATAAAGCCAATCAGCTAACATAGATTTAGCTAACCCCAATTACCAAGTACATTTAGGGTGCACTGCGCATGACAAATGATACTGTCAAGTCCATTTACTTGAGGGCTAGTAAGTGTCTATCCAGAGAACATGTATGTAACAAGTTGCGTCTGCATGGCTATGTAAAAAGGTGAGATTCCTTCTGTCTTTGAAACCCCTTGGTAGATTCTCTGGGATGCACATCACTTACTGGTTAATGCTAATGACATAATAATAATAAACATAATAAAAATGTTTTCTTTCCCTACTACCTTTGTGAAGACGACTTCTGGATTCGGAGACTTTGTCTTTAATTATATTTCCCCTACACTTAAGACGTATGAGTAAGCACCATTAAGATTTGTCAAACACAGCTCAGGTG